TTATATATACTTAAGATGTTTGACTGTTTAAAGTGAGTGAAGAAGCGGTTTGGTTCTGCGATACCGGATGGTGTTTATACCGGTCTGCATGTTGGGCAGACATTTTTCTTTCCCAGATTTTAATGGTCAAAAAACTCCTGTTTGACATTTAAATGTTTGCATAACATCTTCAGCTTCTAGGAGATAAATTTCACGGATAGAGATGAGAGCCAGACGACAGCGAGGAGAAGAACGTTCTTCAAAAAGACCAAACAGGATGAACCATTAGCCTTTAGGTCAAACAGAAATCCCATCAAACTCGTCTAACGTAATGTTTATGAAGCGTTTAAATTTGTTTCCTGCACATATTTCAATAAAAAAAAAAGATATGTTTTATTTCAGAAGCAGTTTTATGTTGGATGTTACAGTTTTCCGATGTAACTTCCTGCCCAGAAGAGCGGGCAGGGTTCACTCTGCAGACAGTCTGATAAGACAAAAGGGCAGATTCCTCGCTAATCTTTACAGGAATGTTATCTCCTTCATCAAGATACCTGCCATGCATCTCTCCGCCAATCTGGCCCCGATCACTCTCACACCGGAAACGCTGCCTAGATAAGCTCTCGTGGATCCTTGCACTCGGACGTGTCGGCTCCTTATCACCACTCCTCACCCTCCTTCTCCACCTCTTTTCCTCTATTGCACCTCTTGGAACAATAAACTACAGTCTTCTTCTCTTCTTGAAGGCAGCACCCAGAACCCCCACTGGCCCCTGTGGGGGTATTAGTGGGGTTTGGAGGGGGGAATGGGGAGAAAGTGATCGAGTGAGTGGGGTGTGTCGTGCATGCATGTGTGGTGGAGGCCGTGCCCTGGGTAGAGTGGCCCACATGGCTACAGAGGGCACATCTGGGCCGCTAACGACCACAGACGCTTCTGAAGTCTCACCCAGAGGGATGGAAGGAAATCTGATCAACAGCCGGACAGAAACAGCCGGACAGAAACAGCAGAAACAGCCGGACAGAAACAGCCGGACAGAAACAGCCGGAAAGAAACAGCCGGAAAGAAACAGCCGGAAAGAAACAGCAGAAACAGCCGGACAGAAACAGCCGGAAAGAAACAGCCGGACAGAAACAGCCGCCCGGGACAGAAACAGCCGGAAAGAAACAGCCGGACAGAAACAGCCGGACAGAAACAGCCGGAAAGAAACAGCCGGACAAAAACAGCCGGACAGAAACAGCCGGACAGAAACAGCCGGACAGAAACAGCCGGACAGAAACAGCAGAAACAGCCGGACAGAAACAGCCGGACAGAAACAGCCGGACAGAAACAGCCGCCCGGGACAGAAACAGCCGGAAAGAAACAGCCGGACAGAAACAGCCGGACAGAAACAGCCGGAAAGAAACAGCCGGACAAAAACAGCCGGACAGAAACAGCCGGACAGAAACAGCCGGACAGAAACAGCCGGACAGAAACAGCCGCCCGGGACAGAAACAGCCGCCCGGGACAGAAACAGCCGGAAAGAAACAGCCGGACAGAAACAGCCGGACAGAAACAGCCGGACAGAAACAGCAGAAACAGCCGGACAGAAACAGCCGGACAGAAACAGCCGGACAGAAACAGCCGGAAAGAAACAGCCGGACAGAAACAGCCGGACAGAAACAGCCGCCCGGGACAGAAACAGCCGGACAGAAACAGCCGGACAGAAACAGCCGGAAAGAAACAGCCGGACAGAAACAGCCGGACAGAAACAGCCGGACAGAAACAGCCGGACAGAAACAGCCGCCCGGGGCAGAAACAGCCGGACAGAAACAGCCGGACAGAAACAGCCGCCCGGGACAGAAACAGCCGGACAGAAATAGCCGGACAGAAACAGCCGGAAAGAAACAGCCGGACAAAAACAGCCGGACAGAAACAGCCGGACAGAAACAGCCGGACAGAAACAGCCGGACAGAAACAGCCGGAAAGAAACAGTCGGACAGAAACAGTCGAACAGAAACAGCCGGACAGAAACAGCCGGACAGAAACAGCCGGAAAGAAACAGCCGGAAAGAAACAGCCGGACAGAAACAGCCGCCCGGGACAGAAACAGCCGGAAAGAAACAGCCGGACAGAAACAGCCGGACAGAAACAGCCGGAAAGAAACAGCCGGACAAAAACAGCCGGACAGAAACAGCCGGACAGAAACAGCCGGACAGAAACAGCCGGAAAGAAACAGCCGGACAGAAACAGCCGCCCGGGACAGAAACAGCCGGAAAGAAACAGCCGGACAGAAACAGCCGCCCGGGGCAGAAACAGCCGGACAGAAACAGCCGGACAGAAACAGCAGAAACAGCCGGACAGAAACAGCCGGACAGAAACAGCCGGACAGAAACAGCCGGACAGAAACAGCCGGACAGAAACAGCCGGACAGAAACAGCCGCCCGGGACAGAAACAGCCGCCCGGGACAGAAACAGCCGGACAGAAACAGCCGGACAGAAACAGCCGGACAGAAACAGCCGGAAAGAAACAGCCGGACAGAAACAGCCGGACAGAAACAGCCGGACAGAAACAGCCGGACAGAAACAGCCGGACAGAAACAGCCGGACAGAAACAGCCGCCCGGGGCAGAAACAGCCGCCCGGGGCAGAAACAGCCGGACAGAAACAGCCGGACAGAAACAGCCGCCCGGGACAGAAACAGCCGGAAAGAAACAGCCGGACAGAAATAGCCGGACAGAAACAGCCGGAAAGAAACAGCCGGACAAAAACAGCCGGAAAGAAACAGTCGGACAGAAACAGTCGGGCAGAAACACCAGGACAGAAACAGCCGGAAAGAAACAGCCGGACAGAAACAGCCGGACAGAAACAGCCGCCCGGGACAGAAACAGCCGCCCGGGACAGAAACAGCCGGAAAGAAACAGCCGGACAGAAACAGCCGGACAGAAACAGCCGCCCGGGGCAGAAACAGCCGGACAGAAACAGCCGGACAGAAACAGCAGAAACAGCCGGACAGAAACAGCCGGAAAGAAACAGCCGGACAGAAACAGCCGGACAGAAACAGCCGCCCGGGACAGAAACAGCCGGACAGAAACAGCCGGACAGAAACAGCCGGACAGAAACAGCCGGAAAGAAACAGCCGGACAGAAACAGCCGGACAGAAACAGCCGGACAGAAACAGCCGGACAGAAACAGCCGGACAGAAACAGCCGGAAAGAAACAGCCGGACAGAAACAGCCGCCCGGGACAGAAACAGCCGGAAAGAAACAGCCGGACAGAAACAGCCGCCCGGGGCAGAAACAGCCGGACAGAAACAGCCGGACAGAAACAGCAGAAACAGCCGGACAGAAACAGCCGGACAGAAACAGCCGGACAGAAACAGCCGGACAGAAACAGCCGGACAGAAACAGCCGCCCGGGACAGAAACAGCCGCCCGGGACAGAAACAGCCGCCCGGGACAGAAACAGCCGGAAAGAAACAGCCGGACAGAAACAGCCGGACAGAAACAGCCGCCCGGGGCAGAAACAGCCGGACAGAAACAGCCGGACAGAAACAGCAGAAACAGCCGGACAGAAACAGCCGGACAGAAACAGCCGGAAAGAAACAGCCTGACAGAAACAGCCGGACAGAAACAGCAGAAACAGCCGGACAGAAACAGCCGGACAGAAACAGCCGGACAGAAACAGCCGGACAGAAACAGCCGGACAGAAACAGCCGGAAAGAAACAGCCGGACAGAAACAGCCGCCCGGGACAGAAACAGCCGGACAGAAACAGCCGGACAGAAACAGCCGGACAGAAACAGCCGGACAGAAACAGCCGGACAGAAACAGCCGGAAAGAAACAGCCGGACAGAAACAGCCGGACAGAAACAGCCGGAAAGAAACAGCCGGACAGAAACAGCCGGACAGAAACAGCCGGACAGAAACAGCCGGACAGAAACAGCCGGAAAGAAACAGCCGGACAGAAACAGTCGGACAGAAACAGCCGGACAGAAACAGCCGGACAGAAACAGCCGGAAAGAAACAGCCGGACAGAAACAGCCGCCCGGGACAGAAACAGCCGGACAGAAACAGCCGGACAGAAACAGCCGGAAAGAAACAGCCGGACAGAAACAGCCGGACAGAAACAGCCGGACAGAAACAGCCGGACAGAAACAGCCGGAAAGAAACAGCCGGACAGAAACAGCCGCCCGGGACAGAAACAGCCGGAAAGAAACAGCCGCCCGGGACAGAAACAGCCGCCCGGGACAGAAACAGCCGGAAAGAAACAGCCGGAAAGAAACAGCCGGAAAGAAACAGCCGGAAAGAAACAGCCGGACAGAAACAGCCGGACAGAAACAGCCGGACAGAAACAGCCGCCCGGGGCAGAAACAGCCGGACAGAAACAGCCGGACAGAAACAGCCGGACAGAAACAGCCGTCCGGGACAGAAACAGCCGGAAAGAAACAGCCGGACAGAAACGCACAAGAACCTCTGCTTCTCTTGTGACTCAGAGCCACCGGCTCTGAGTCACGCCTCCTCAGACAGCATATCCACGCTGCCCACAGTGGGACAGAGTCAGAGCCGGCTGGATCCCGGCTCAGCCAATCAGACGCCTGCGCTGTCCATTCATAAAGTGGCTCACCAGCAGCGTCCACGCTGAGCGACATCATATCCCCACCCACCTGCGCTCACTTCATTCATGCTCTGAGCAGACGGAGTGGACGGAGCTATCTGTGTCAGAGGAAAACGGGTGGGGGTGGGGGGACAGAGAGGAAGTAGTTCCTTAGCGTGAAACAATCCTCTACTAGCAGCTAATCACTTAGCTTTAGACACTAGTGACCGGTTCCACACCACGGCCCCTCACTGTGCCCCCCCCCTGCATCAGGGGATCAAACTCAGAACTTAAAGCTCCTTCAGGCATTTCCTCAGCGACGCTGCCGCCGCCTCCTGCTCTTCCTCTCAGTGGTTCAACAGTTTCTCCAACCTTAATGTCTAACATCTGACAGCCATCAGCAGCAGACCGACTCTCTCAGTCTTTTGCCTTTTAGTTCCTCCTTTTCTCACTTACCGTCTGGGTGGGGGTTTCTTCCCGGCGCTGACTTAGGAATGAGGGAACCCCCCCGACTTGCCTCAGCTGCCCTCCTCATCCTCACTCCTGTTGAAGCAGGGATCCTGAGCAGACAGCCGCTCCTCAGCAGCGTCTCTGTCTGGAACTGAAAGGTTTCATCCACATCTTCTTCTCTGTCATTTCCTCCTCCCATTTTCATTCTTCAGAGTCTAATCAGTAACACGCTTAAAGTGACAGCAGCAGCGAGCTACAGAGCCGGCTCTCGCTTTCTATCTCGCTCTTGTGCTCTCACACACACACTCTTTCTCACAAGAGGCAGTTGGTGAGGTTTTCCTCTGGGCTAAAGGTGCTTTCCCAGAGCTCTGAAGACACCACAGCCGTTAAACTCCCTACAAGCCCCGGCTAGAGTTGCACTATCACATGTTTCACAGGGCTCTCCCTCCCCTCTCTGATGAATTACTGACTGACTGTCACTGTCTGACTCTCACACGCACTCACATGTCCAACAGCGCGCCCTCTTATAGGCATGCTGGGGGGGGGGCTGGGCCTAAAGCAGAGGGCAGTCTCTTCTTACAGAGCTCCCCGTCGAGGTTAGAGAGAGGACAGGACCATTCAGAAAAAACACAACTGAGAGGAAGGAGGTAGGGAGGGGGGGAGTAAAATGGGTGTGCATGCCCAGTGTCATAAAAAACACAAACGGCTCCACTAGAAATATGGGGAATCTTCAGAGTGTGACCGATCTCTGGGGAAAAAGAGTTTTTAGGACTTCTTAGGAAAAACTTGCATGAAGTCTGAGTGGCTGCTTAGGTTCAGAGAGCAGGAAGGAAGGAAGCAGGGAGATTCTGATGGACTCAAACATCACAAACCTTCAAACTACCGCAGGTCGCTCACATCTACCGTTCCTCTGGCCTTTTCTGGTGACCGAAATTCGCCCTTGTCCTCAGTTCACCATGGTACCTATATCCTGCCGGCTCTATCCTCCCTGCCGTGTTTGCCAGCCACACCCACGGGTGGCGGTTCCACCCTGCCCCGCCCTTTTACAGACGCAAAGCAGGGCTGGGCTGCAGGATTCAATGGGAGGCTTGAACTTAACTGATTTGTTACTCACAAGAGGCATGTGACTCACCCAAAGTCCAGGCCGCGCCCCTCCTATGCTCCCACTACACACAGCGCCGTGTGCAAACACCAGGCTACACACCAATGCTTCAGCAGAGAGCGATTCCTGCCGCCGTCTATTTAAAAAGCTCCTGTGACTCATAGATATGTGTACGGGTTGATTCTACGCCCTCACTCCTTAGGGAATTCATTGGGGTCAAAGGTTACTCTAAAATTATGTGATTTAACAGAAAATTGTCCAGTCAAAATAGGCAGATTAGCAGGATTTACCAAAATAAAAGCTTCTGAGGCGATACAGTGAGCTAAAGAAAAACTTCCAGCTCTGAAAATGATCATATTGACCCCAAAAAGTTTAGTATCTAGGGTAGATAGATTAAAAAAACATACCAATTTTTTTTATTAGTTTTTGCTGTGATTGAGCAGAAAACATTTATTATTATAAGGTCCTATTGTTTTATATATATTTTAAATCTTTATTCTGCTTTTATTTTTCTTTTATTTTATTATCTAATTCCTTGAAGGCACTTTAAATTGTCCATGTGCTGCACTTTGCAATAAAAATAAACTATTATTTTATTTTTCAGAAGTCACTAAACAAAATGTTCAAAATTACTGCATTTCAAATATCAGATTTAAATTTGGGAAAACTAGTTGGGAAATTTTTATTTTGTATATTTCAGCAAATAATCAACCAATAAATTCTGTCATTTATTTTTCGATTCAGCATGTGAACATTTCAGCTTTGTGCTTAATTCAACTTATTTAAAAATCCAAATTTTAGACTGGGACAAAAGAGACTGGGCTCTTTAATAAAGTTTGCAGCTCAAAATGTCAACATTTGGAGTCTTAGTTTGCATCTAAATCAGAACCAATTCAAAAACCAAAGGTTTTAACAGCCAACTTTAAGAGGCGCTGGAAGCTAAAAAAGCATTTTTATTTAAAGATCTGCAGATTCTGTTCCAGAATCCAAACCCAAAAACAAAGAATGAGTCTCACTAAAAGTTAGGCGAATATGTTGCGCATCAAAATAAAGAACATAAAGGACTAATGCAAAATAATATTCTGGCAATTTTATTTCAGTTTTGGAAAAATAAATGATGATGTGGAAATGAAAACATGTTTTCTTTTCCTCAGACTTAGTAAAGAGTTACGCCGTCAGACGCGTCCAGGACGGATGCGGGTTTGTTGGTGTGGACAGAAACTGAGCTGCTTCCAAATGATTCACAGAAACGAATGAATGTGATGAATCAGAGCCTGACTGACTCCAGACAACGGAAGCGTTCCATTAAATCCCAGCACTGACTGGATCAGCCCTTTCTTTCCAAATATCCCTGAACATGGAAGACATTTTTCTAAAATGCTCAACAGCAGGAATGAAAACTATTCCAAAGGGCTCTAAGTAGGAGCTAAAAACCACTGCGTGTCACATCAAGTCAAGAGGCATTTATTTCACTTTTTATTCCTCATCAGTTAGTGGTTCCCAGTTAAAGTCCTTCCTGAAGCGGTTAGCTTAGTCATTCCTAACACACATTTTCCATCAGTAGGACACCGTGATTTGTGAATTCAGCAATAGAGGCTAAGATGACTGCAGCGGCGTGTTGAACGCTGTGAGTGCAGAGCTCAGCTCATTCAAGTCAGAATAAAATGAACATTTCTCATTTCTTTTATCTCAGCCAAAATTCTCAGGTTATCCTGATCTATCTCTATAGTTCTGCTGCTATAGGCTTAGACTGCTGGAGGACATAGGGACCCCTTTTTCATCATTCTGCTTCATTCTATCTCTATTCTCCCACTCTGCAGAATCTGTTAGTTCAATCTCTAACGTTCTGCTCTCTCTGCTTTTTCTCATAGTAGCTTCATCTGGTCTGTTCCTGTTTGGCTGTGACTCCATCCTGGAGAGAAATATCAGCTGTGCTGCTGCCATCAACACCTTTGTTTCTAGATGTTGGAGCTTGGCCTGTTTTCCAGTGTAGTCCTGTTTCTCTGACTGTGACTAACTGGATGTGCTCTCTTCATCCTCTGACATGGGAGCTGGCTCGGAGCTCGTCTGTCTGGCTGTGTGTTTCCTGTGGAGCTGGTTGACAGTTGCCTTTTGTATCTATGCTTCTTTTTCTATGTCTGCTTCTGTCTCCTTGAACCCCAGTGGGCCTCAGCAGATGGCCGCTCACACTGAGCCTGGTTCTGCTGGAGGTTTCTTCCTGTTCAAAGGGAGTTTTTCCTCTCCACTGTCGCTACAAGCATGCTTGGTGTGAGGGATTGCTGAAGAGTCAATGAGTCGATGCAATCAGCTGGTTTTCCTTAGATAGAAAACTTTGAATCAATCTGTCTGGATCATCTGGTTGATTTAGATCTATAAAGTGACCTGAGATGACATGATGTGAATTGCAGCTATAGAAATAAACTGAATAAAATATAATTTTTCTTTTTAAAAGCTCTTTGTTATTAAAAAGGAAGTATAGTTTGGCTTGATCTTCTATGGCTATATAATCTCTATATGGGACTTTTATTTTGAAGTAACAGAGGATGCAGCGGATTAAAGGGCTGATTGATTCACAGTTAATTAATTAGTCTGGATGAACCCAAACACAGAAGGTCAATTAGACAATCATAAAATCCACAAGAAACGGACGAACAGAAGCTGGACGGGAACATTTAGACTAAGGAGACTTTCTTTAAGACACGGCGTCATCACTGGTAGATTTATTTTATACTCAAAAACACACTAAAAGCAGCCATAAATAAGGTTTACTCTTAGCATTTCGGTCACTAGTTATATTCTCATTAACTGGAAATATTTCCAGTTAATTCTTAATTTGAAATACGTTTAATTAATCCTTTTTTTTGGGCACATAGGTTGAAGCTGGTTTCTTATTATTTCATTAGTATTTCAGAGATCAGAGACGATGCGGCTCAGAAAGCATCATTTTCTCTAAAGAGTGAGTCGTCAAGGTGCCGCATGTTTTAATCAGAAACCTGCAGGATTAAAATCGTCTTTATAAATAGACCATGATTCCCATGTTACACCCAAAATATGGTGAAAAAAAGCAATGTTAAAGTAACTAAATCTAATTAAATAGATGCTAAAATCGGTTGCATTATTTTTTATTAATCTGAGCATTTCCTGTGGATTAGTTTAAATATCCACAGCCTAAATGGAGCCGATCCAACTTTAACGTTTCCATATCAGCCCCTAGAAAGTGAAGCGGCTCAGAAACGAAGGAGTCGACCAGTTTGCTTGTGACTCAGTCTATTGTGGGCACAGAGCGAACATTCTTTGGGTGGATGCAGGGGCGGAGATGTGTTAACACACACGCATGCACCACGCAGGCGGGGGCCTTTCCCTTCTGCTGTCACACGCACACTCACAATGGAGAGGAAGCTGGGGATTCCTGACATTCCTCTGAACAAAAAGGTGCGAACTCAGGCAGCCCAGCAGGCTGGGAATTCAGCCAGGTCGCTTGGCTTTGGGGGGGGGGGACACAGGGACATGTGAGGGACGACCAGCGGACAGAGGGAACGGCATCCGATTGTAGAGCTGGCTGTGAAACTGAGAAGATCAGAAGACAGCAAGCGTCCTCGGCTTTAAACTTTCCCAACTATTGTCTGAACTGCAGCACTTTCACCAGCCCCCCCCCCCTCACTATGATAGTGAGAGTCACTCTGAGGGGGACACGGAAACACGAGTCGCCTCAGTAAGTTTCCATGCTATTGTTGAGGAAAGCATTAAAACAAATATGAAATGTAGTAGATTTCCTCTGAGTCACTGATTGAAAGAATAAATAAATAAACGGGGTTTCCTTCAAAGCTGCCTGACCTAAAATCTGAAGGACCCAGCTTAGAGCCCTGAAGGCTGCAGATCGCATGAGAACAGGAGGAAACGCGCAGCTTTAAACACACGCACCTGTCTTTGCCACCAAGCTCTCAGCCCGTGATGGACAAGAACAGACGTAACAGCGACGTCATTTCATTCACCCCCCCCACAGCAACACTCCTTTCAGTAAACATGCCTGCAACCAACCAAGGACGGCCCATAGAAATTTGGCAGCCAGATGCAAACCTACACCCAGATCTGTGTGTGTGTTCTATGCTGCCTATATTAGGCAGCCTGGGAAGGCGTGATGTCACGGTCACGCTGCAGAGGCATGTCTCTACGTCTTATCTCCAACCGCTCTGCCTGTTCTCTGCGGCTCTCCGCCATGACGTCTGCGTGTGCGTGCGCTCATTGCCCCGAGCTTCTGTGAACCACAGGGAGCAGCGGCAGCTCTGCTGTCACACCGGCTGGCTCACGCGCTGCGTCCCTTTGTCAGGAACATCACTGATCAACTTTCCATGACTTACTTACTGCAGCATCTCGGATTAAGTCACACAGATGCTTTTATTGTGACGCAATAGTTAGTTATGAGGTTATATGGAGACGGAGGAGGGAACAGCTTTGCTTTTTCCCTTACAGCTTTATTTGATCATTTTTTCAACAATAACATGTAAATATTTTAAGATGCCATCACAGTTTTACCTCCTTTGGTGTAGATTTTTTTTACAATGTTCCCAGGTTTAGATTTAAATGAGCATGATGAGAAATTGGAGCTAGAGTCTGGGATTAAGCTGTATTCTGGATTAGAA